ATGGATTACTCCCAAGTATGACCTCAATTAACAACAGACTTGTTAGTTTCCTCGCACCATACGCTAACTTGTGTCTTATTACAGATTAAATGTATCATTATGAAAAATGATTTGATTGACAGCATAATTATGCCAATCTATTACCAAGTCTTGGCGCCGCACGGATGACTAGTCTATATTCATTGGAGGGTGGTAAAGAAAGAGTAATATCGCGCGACCAATCTCGAGCTCCATCTGTAGTCAGGTCGCCGTTGAATTTGCAAAAACGGCGGCAGCAACAAGCGAATGAGGCCATTCGGATTCATCCTTCGTAAATAACGCCACTGCTGCTAGCTGCCATCGAATAAAAATACAGAGGAGATACCGATTTGTTCAAGGCTTTTTCGTCAGAGAGGGTGCTGCCACACATTTTCAGTTGTAACTATACAAACTAGAAAATATGACTACAATAATACTATCTTTTTGTCGTGTCGTACTTATATTTGATTTTTTGCTTACTGTTACAGATACATGAGGAAAAGACAAAGGATGATACAGCCTTATTAAATATAAGTTTTATCTTTGTTTTTGTTCATCTGAGAACATTCATAACTATCACTTTGCATGAGCCTGTAGGGCATATATTTTCCCGAGATTCCCGTAGTCTCCATCACTGATGGAGTACAATCAACATAATTATGAGGAAGCTTTGGATGAGCTTGAGCTCTTTGAGAGAAGTAGGAATGTTCTGAGTCATATACATCTACTTTTTATAATACCACGTTAGGATACAATGGAATTCTTCCTAACGCAGTATAAATCTGTTGTCCATAGGATATAAGTTGATTTTGTCCGTAAACATTCAGAAACTAATGATAAAGTCACCTTCCAAATACAAAAGAAATACAGAAACCTCGAGACATAACATTTCTTTTGTATTCGAGCCACGTCTCAGTGAAGTTAGTCCAACTAGCATAATATACTAGGATAAATATATCACGAGTAACAGTGAAAGAAAAATTCTAATATATTATCTTCAATATGGTCAGGGAGGAAAAAAACACGAAACTCAAGTAAAAAAAATCACTGAGTTAAATCGCTTGTTCGAGATGGTTTCGATACGTCTCTCACCATTTCAACTAATGTTTGGCATTAGCCATGATTATATGTTATCTATTTTCAGTAGGGATTATGTTCACTGACTATCACTTAATTGTCTCCCTTATATAAGTTTTCAATACTGAAATCATGTGATTCGTCCTCACAACCAGTATAATTGAGATAATAGTAATAATTTTATTTATAGACAAGGAAAGAAAATCCCCAAAAAAATTAGAGAGATGACCAAGTATACACTTATTTTTAAAAGAAGTTCGACTCGTCATTACAAATATTCACTTTATTTTCCGTGGTTGCACCAACTATCTATGATACATGGAAATATCGTGCTACTGAGACGTGAGATCAATGTTGGTAGAACTGATCGGTATACTTTTTTTTTGAAGCAATTTGTACTTTTTCAACGATATCTTCTTCTTTGTCACTGTAAGAATTGCTAGTAAAGTTACACATTGAGAGTACTAAACGCAAGTCTGCTCAAGTCTTGCCATGACTTGAGTTTTTCGTTTTGTTTACATAGGCCTTATCATTTTTTCAGAATCACGTGCACGATGACCGACCCTGGGGGTGAAATATTGAAACACAACCTCACTCTTCTGTGAAACATTGAAACACAACCTCACTTTTTTCAGTTGTTTACAGAGGAGCCAAAGGATTGAAATAGTTTTTCACAGTATTTTGGCATACGAATCGTGTTTTTTGCGCTATTCATTAATTCAAGCATGCATTCTCATTGTGCTGTCGCACAATACACAAAAAATGGAGCGAGAGACGAAGTAATATGATGTTTCAGGTAAATAGTAATCACACATACTGTTTATTATGAAATTTCGTCATTTCTTATTGAAATTCCTTCGACCACATCTGCAATAGAAGCTAATACTGTTAATAGATTGAAAATGTCTACAACACACACGATCATATTTCGTCAGCATGTCAGACCAGTCCTCCCGTTTTATTGCATGAATCCAATCTTCTCGCATTCTATTAGGAATTTCACGAGTATTTCTATTAGCTCCTATTGCAGAAGGAATTCCGATGAGAAATCAGAGAAATTACCAAATTTCAAAATGAAAACTGTATGTGAGTGACTTTAGTAGGTACTTACTTTTAAATCATAATATACTAACCGGATTCCTTCGTCTCTCGCTGCATTTTTTGTGCATTGTCCCACAGCACAATGTTATGGCATACGCGAATTAATGATTAGCCAAAAACAAGATTCGTATGCCAAAATAATTGTGATTTCAATCATTTGTAAACAAATAGGAAAAGTGAGGTTGTGTTTCAATGTTTCACCTACAGGGTCGGTTATCTGACAGTTCTTGGACGCTACCCATTTTCGATAAAACAGCCTTCAAGGTTATCCGTCAAAATATTGGGACTTTTGACTTTGACATATTATAGACCTCACGTTCTAGTAACGTCAACTACTGGTGTGACTGAAAATGGTTCTTCCTCTCGTCTCCATATTCAATGGCATGGAAGGATCCTTTGTAGATAATATTACACCACTGCCACTGCTTATGGTTATCGATTTTAATCAACTGTCCAAGTGCCCCGGCATCATGTTAGCCTCTCTGCAATACCCAGCATAGCGTATTGTGTTGCCCTGTTATTTTGTCAACGATTCCAATGTGTATTTAATTAGTTGTTGATAGAGTCCATACTCAAATAATTTGAATTGATAATATAATGCTGGACATTTGCGAGGTTCAACAGCACCTATATACGATAATCGGTTAATTAAACTTCCGTTGACGATATTGTCGGAGATAACGAATAATAATGATTGTGATTATTCAAAAGGAATATTCTCAGATATATTTGAACATAAAAAAAATGATACATTTAAAGAATTGCATTGAGAATTCGTATTCTCTTCGTATTCTCTACGTGATCACATTTTCTTCCTCGGTATATTCAGTAGTAATACTAGAAGTACTTCAAAATATTCGATTGCTTGTTGCATAATTACAAAGGGTCAATTTAACTAATGAAATAATCCGACCGCGAGGTGGGAGAATTATTCTGTTAAACTGACACGATTTGTAATTATGCAGGAAATTTGAGATGCATGAACATGAATAGTTTGAGCGCTGTTTGGAGTTCGAATTGTATTCGGTGCGATTATTTTTTGAGTAGTTCTAAACGAACGTCAACATTTTACGATTCGCTTTGTTTGCATATAACAATATGAATGGGTTAGGTACTATGGAAATGGAAATAATTCTAAAATTCCTGATTGGTGGAATTACTCTATATGTATATTGTATATCGACGTATATTCGAAATTATACAGGGTAGCTTAGCTCCATTGAACGTACTGATTGGTTCAAAATCATGTGAAGAAAATAATCAACAGAAAACTTTTTTCATGATCATAAATATTAAATTACTGGGTGTTTCAAAGTTGTGGTGACAAAAGCCTATGGGAGATTCCTCTCAACAAATTATGAAGAAAAGTTCATATAAACATGGGTCCGAAAATGCTTCGTTTCCGAGATATACAGTGTGCAAGTTTAAAAAAATGGGTTTTTCATTATTTATATCTTGAAAAAAAAAATTCTCACAAAATTTGAAGATCGTATACATTCTAGAGAAGGCATTGCATTTTTGCATATGGACATCCAAAAGTATGAGGAATAATACTATGAAGTTAGTTTTCCTGCAAAAAATTGCATAATATGATTTCATATTCAAAATCGACTTATTTCAATAAAAGCGCATGGCACTGTCGATAATGATGTTTGTCTCTGGAAAACTTATATAATTGATGGTTATTCATATCAGTCCGGAAAGAATCGCACGTCTAATAGCTGAAATATAGCGCTGTATACAAAGTGCGGTAATAGTATATTGTGCAACAAGTGGGAAAAGTTCAACTTTTCTCACGAGTGTGAAAGTTTGTGGCACGAGCCTGAAGGGCGAGTGATGCAAACACACGAGTGAGAAGAGTGCTTTTCCCCACATGTTGCACACTATACTTTTTCTACAACTGCACTTATTCAAGGAAGGCACTATGCCACATTGAATATTGTGACCAAAGAGTAGACGCCTTTCCAAATTCCTCAAAGTATTTCAAAAAAGTACACTTACCGAAAGAGATTTTATTTCTGTATATTTTTAGATTCCATAAATTTTTCGTTTATGCTAATTCATACTTTTTTCTCGAAATTTCCGGAAACAAATCCCACTTTCGCAGCTTCTTCCATTATCTCTGTCTCTGGCGGTGTATTTATCAAAATCGTATTTTTGGAATTTTTGGAATTTTTGGAATTATATATTTTTTTTATCGCTTGGAGCGCACGAAAGGGAATCCCTATAATGTTCAAAGAACATCGTGCGTTCCTAGGGAGGATAGGGACAGGAGGTAGGTATTGGAAAGTGCGATTTCTATCAAAAGCACTAATGAGAACTACCCTAAAGAATTCAAAAAACTTCTTCTGACAGATGTGACAACTATTCAAAGCTGAACAGCAGCCAAGTTTTGGTCGATTTTCGTTGATTCTCCATGGAAATGTATGTGGTGTTGGCAAAGTGCCGTGAGAAAAAATATTTCTCACAGTATGAGCAATACATGGTTTTGAAACTAAGTTAGCCATCAGAAATACGCTACTTTTCATAGCAGTAGTAGAAAAACAGAATTTTTCAGAAGTCTCAGTTTCGGTTTTCAAAATTTTAGACTGAAAATGGCATGGAATGTGGCTCAATGAATTATCCGTTGAAACACGTATCTATCGAATAACTGAATAATCGAACTTACGGAGTTTGTTAATTTAAAGAACATTAGTGAAGTAGGTATTTGCCTATATAATAATGGACGGAAGCAGATAAGATATCAGATGGATTCTCATTCTCCGTTATTTGTTAGTCAATCTTGCAATTAGTGTCGTAATTACCTTAAAAATATTATCGACTTCAGCGGCCCCTGGCGTGGCAGAAGGTAAAGGTTCCCTCGGTCCAGCCGTCAGTCCTTGATTCTGAAAAAAACAGACAAACGATATTGAGATATTCAAATGAAGTGAGAGAACAATGGTTATTCCTGAAGTTCTGTATGAACCAAACGAGAGCGAGGCTTGTTAAAATCATGAACCAAAAAAGGACATAATTATTCACCTTTGTATGCAATCATTCAAGTGCCAATAGCTACTGTGACAAAGTTGCTTCCTCCGAACAATATATCAGAAATTATAAAAGAAAAAACGGAAATATACAATGTACCATCGAATATTCGACCAGTGAACTATTCAATATTGTAGTCTTATTTTAAATGTCTTGCTCAAAATATGACAACACAGCATTTCTTGTATGAAGGGTTTTGTGTTTCGGTGTCATGGGGTTTGACAGCTTCAGCATTTCTCGTAGCCTTCCCTTGGTGATGTTGCCACAAAAGTAGTTTGTTCTGAAAGGTAGGTATAGTTTGTATTTTTTTTTCTTTTCATTGTCATTCATCAGTGCCAAATGTGTGAAAATGTAGACAATAATTGGATTTGATATGATTACGATATTTTTGCAATTTTCGAAACAAACAATACTGATATAGATAACTTAATCTCGAAATGGAACTATTATTGCTTCCCCTTTATTACATTTACTTTCGAATGTGAAATGAGCGGTCAATTACCATTCTCAGATGTACTTGTACAGGGTGTATCAAACTCCCCGTCCTTGGCTTATAATTTGGCAGAGGGTACTCAATACCTGGTGTAATAAGAGTTGTAAAACGCATATTACGCACGAAGTGGAAAGAATTACACACGTTGCCGCGTAGCGGCGAGGGTATAACTCCACAAGTGCGTAAATGCTTTACAACTCGAGAAATATACTATACTTTTTCTTCGACTACACTTTTTTTTTGTTCTGGTTCTAACGAAAAGGGATATCCTGTAATGTTCAGAGAACATCGTGAGAACCAAGGGAAATAAGGTAGGAATTGGTGATCTTCTCAAATTTCTGGAGGTTATATGCCTCCGGGAACACCCCCCTTGGCAATGTGTTCCAGAGCATCGCTGTTCGTTGGATGAACAAGTCTTTGGAAAGAGATGTTCTGCAGGTCTCCAAAGTGACCACGAAGGGGTGCGAAGACTCAACTCGACGGGTTAATCTCGTGGGGAGTGCCAATGGAAGAATAATTGTTGATATTTCAGAAAGGCATTTTCCATGAAAATATCTATAAAATAGGGCGAGATCGCCAACTTGTATACGGTGTTCCAGAGAAGTGAGTGAGTTTGTGAGCGAGGCATCACCCACGAGACGAATCGCCCTCATTTAGACAGAATCCAACAGTTTCAGGGTATGTTTGGGTGCTGCACTCCAAATATGGAAACAGTATTTCAGGACAGGTCGGATCTGTGCCTCATAGATCATAAGCAGCTGACTGGAAGTGAAATAGCTTCTGGCCCGAAACAGAAAACCAAGTTCTTGGGATGCACTTTCAGCAATTGATCTCACGTGATTTTCCCAAGAAAGGTTATTGCTGATAGTAATACCAAGCATCGAAATGGATGTCTTCAAAGGTATGGTTACTCCTGACAGGCTTATGTTGGGCACAGTGAGATCGGTTTTCCTAGAGAAAAGGCATGCTTGTGTTTTGTTAGCATTGAAATCTACCAAGTTATTGGATCCCCATTCTATGATTGTTGTCTAGAATTGTTGCCAAGTCCATATTTATGTTCTCAACATTTCTTCCTCGTACGTTTCTGATTTGCCTGGCTGGTATTGGAGCCCTGGAAGAGAAGGTGGTATGGAGGGTACTATCATCCGCAATAAGTCCTGCGGTTATACTCTGTATACTACAAACAGTACTCAGTAATTCTACATTACAAATTGTTTGTTTTCGTGTGACTCTGTGATGAATTTGACACACAACAAACATATATGCGTACTATTGGGCGAAACGCCCACATAAATCTCACGTCCACCTAGTATACCCATTCCATAAATAATAAATCTTCTTCGAGAGGCGATACACGACGAAAAGCCGACGCAAGGAAAAATAACTGCCTTTATCGCATCAAGCTCGGTTGCTGTGGAAATTCCGGTTTCGATGAGATCTCTCCACGAAATGGCGCAAAAATGAATGAGACTTCTGTGGAAAGTTCCGCTTCCATCTCTCGATGCTCCAAAACAGATATGGAGGTAATGTACTAAGCAAAAATAGAAAAAAAATATGGTAAAAAGCTACAAATTGATAGAGACATTCACCTTGGTCTACTTTTGAAAGTATCGATAGTCTGGATCCGCCTAATAGCACGGAATATTTCCCTCATATATCGGTAATTGCACTGCAGAGCAAAGATTGCACTGCGAAGAGATCCTATCGCCATAACAACACATTTATAAAGCCATGTCGCTGGACGCCAGTAAACAATACAAATTAATGTCAGGTGGAGGAAAAGGAAAAGTGATAAAAATGTGAGTGCTCCATACAATCTGTCTAGGAAAGTATAAATGAAAGTGAACCAAAAATACCAAATCCAACAGACAGAATTCCTTATTTCGTGATTTCCAATGAATTACATTCGTATGAATAAAATGACCAGACATTCTTTCTCCTATCATTGAGTATTCAAAATAATCAAGGCTCCTACGGATTCGGGCTCTTTCGCCAAAATATGAAAATAACCTCTTGCAATTTTTAGACAACAGGCTTTCTTGCAAAATTATCGGTAATTGTTATGCACTGCAATATACGCTAATTTTATTTTTATCTTCCATATCTCAGTGCATGTTGATGTTCATCAAATTTTCTACAATACAAAAAATGTCAATAATATTGTGCTCTATTCCCAATATGTTTTCGATAATAAACTGTAGAGTAATGTTTATTTTTATTTTATGTCCTAAACTGTCGGAAAAAGCCACACTCGGTATAGAATTTGTGAGAATTCATGAATTTGTTTCTGGATTTTCCTATTTCAGTCTCATTTCCTGAGATATTCAGAGCGAATCCGCTTCGAAAAAGAACCCTGCATGTATATCCGCCCAGTTTAGTTCTGCTTTTTTACACCCACTGAATGGTCAAACCTTTTTCACAATAAGAAACACAAATCTCTAATGTGTTTTCTAAATAATTTGAATAAGAGCGAATTGGAATGCCCGGAAAAACGAATTGAATGACGACTGGTCATAATATGGCTAATATTGCGTTCGAAAACGATGTCGTGACTTCCCCTTTTCTTAATTTCGGTTTTCTGGCAAATGGTTAGTTGTATGAGAAGAAAATTCAAGAGACCGAATTCTTACATTTTTTATGGCCCACAAGATCATGTTATTCAGAGTTGGAGTTTCTATTTTTAAACATAAAATTTGGGCCAATAAAAGTGTGGATCCCCCTCCAACTCCCCCAAAACTGGGTTTACATCATTTATGGAGCAAGAAGGTAATGAAGTGTCTAAAAAGACAGGGGCATGCCAATTTTCAGGAGATTTGGTTTGTTATTTTAGTCACAATTTTAGATAATCTTTTTTTTACCTAACTTACTGTAGATGTAGCTTGGTGGGGCTGTGTTTTAGGACACATGTTTATATGACGAAAAACTCTTATTCTGATCCCAACAATATGTCCTTGAAATATTTACATCGAATTTTGAATCACCCTGTATTAGGCTGCTACTGCGTGGCGCGTGGCCAAAACCAACCACTCTAGACCCTACACCATACTTCCATCAATAATTAAATTCACTAACTAGATTCTCAAGGGATTTCTACAATAACAGGTAAGACAAGGCCGGGCACAGGATTTTTTTTTCGAAAGGGGGGGGGGTCCAAGAAAAAAAAAAGAATTGCAAATTCCTTTTTTTTTCGAACCCTGGGCACGGCCTTGGTAGATCATTGATCAAAAAGCTGATGTTACGCTGCCTCTTGGCAGTTACTTAGTTTAATTGAATATTATGGCATGCATAAAATAAGAAATCGCGAATAATGAGGATAACTCGAGTTGTCACTGGTGTTTAAACAAATGAATATTGGGAATATGAAAAAAGTTTACTCAACTTTCTTTCTTAAATGAGCAGATTTTGAAGGTCCCCACCAATTTATAGATTTTTACCTATTATTTCATAAGGATTGCTCACACTCACACCAATCGAGTTATAACTATGATTATTATGTGAACATATGGGAATTCCTCGGGGAATTCATTGCCAGTAAGTTTACAAGAAGAATGATATTTTAAGTAGGTAGGTAGTTGGGAGTATACCGTTTCCATAGCTGAAGTAGAAATCTCTGCGGTAGGTATATAATGTAAGTGCCAGACGATGCTTGACACCTAAGGCATAAATCTTTATCTCGAATACCCAGACGGCACTTTTGATTCTGAGATGGGCCTGCTTTGCCACTGCAAACAAACTCACAATGAAACAATATCAGCTTGATGACATGAGAGAATAGATATCTGCTTATCGCTTGACAATCCCACCTTCTGGTTTTCGATATACCAGAAGTAGTAGCAGACTTGGGTCGAATACTGAAATCCAGTATACGAATACGAATCCTGAATACTGTATACTCTAAATTGTATTCGAATACTCAGGAACGCTCAAGTTGCGTTAATTAGCCGGAGCCGTGGCAATATATGATCGACCAATGATATATAGCGACGGCTCCGTTTAAGCTTAACGCAATATTCATAGAAATAATCGAAAAGTATCCGAAAACAGGATTCGAATACCGGGATTCGAATACAGGATTTGGATATCGGGATTCGAATACAGGATTCGAATACCGGGATTTGAATACTGAGATTCAAAAACGGTAATCAGAATCCAGAATACCGAGTACTGACCAAAAAAGTATTCAGTCGAATACCGAATACCAAATACACAAATGTATTCGAATAGTATTCGAATACCAGCCAAATGTATTCTGAATAGGATTCAGAATACTGGGTATTCGAATACTACACAAGTCTGAGTAGTAGGTAACACCAAAGATTACTGAATGACTAGGTAACACGAACATGTGATCTATTGATGTGCAAA